TTTTTATTTGAATCACTCCCTATATATATATATATAAGCATACAACAATGTATTTAATTGTTAATTATATAAAATTTAATTCCATGATTGATGTTGTTAATTATATAATAGTTTTAAGTTTTGCTAATCTTGTGGAAGGTGTTATGTAACCGACTGAAACATACTATCTTCATTTATTATTTTAATTAATTGATTTTTTTTCACAGTAATTTGACCTTAATTGTTGCTTGGACATTGACTGCCTTTATGAATTCCTATTATGTTGGACGTTGACTGCTTTTATGAAAAATTATGTTGCTTGGACAGAAAAAATATACTAAATATTTCTGTAGGGCCAAAAAGTTTGCCACGTAAGATTCATGACTTAGATGAAAATAATAATTGAAAATATAAAATATTGCTACAACTTTTATTTTTTAATTTGGAAATATAAAATAATTAAAATATATAATGATTAACGATTTTTCTTTCACTTTTTTTAAGGCCAAATATACAATTGAAAGGGCTAGAGTATTTACATTTTTAAATTGCGTTTGTTAGATTTGGTATAATGTATATTTTGATATGTATTTTTCTGTGAATTATTTATTATTTTTTTATGGTCAACTGTCACATTATATGGTCAACTGTCAATAATAAAAAGTTCAAAATGATTTTTGTAATTTTGAAGTGATTAGTGTACTGATTATCTAATGATTAAATGAAAGTTAAATAAATTAGAAGTAACGATTTTTGGAGAAAAAAAGGTTATATTGACACATAGGTAAAATTAAACTAGTAATCATCCCATGCACATGCACAAATAAAAAAAATATTATAAGTAATATGTGGAAATTTTTAAATTATAGATAATGAAAATATTACATTTTCAAGATTTGATCATTAGTAAAAATAAAATAATATAAATATTTGATTAATTATTATTTTTATTTTTTTATTTCAGTAACTATAATACAAAGTAGATATATTAGTTGTATTATTCAGCTAGTGGCTGTACCTTTGCACATTTGTGCGTTTATATATAAATCCTCTATCGTTTCGACAAAAAAAAAAAAAAAAAAGATATATTAGTTGGAGGACAAAACTTCTCTTAGTATCTTTATATTATCAAAAAGTCAATTAGGACATGTTTATATAGTATAAAAAACAGATTGTATTTAATATCTATATATATCTAAAAAGGTTGATGTAAAAATCCTTTTTCAGAAACTTAAAAATAATTGAGTTGACTTTTGACTTTCTATTTATGTATTCTACGTTAAAATTGGAAGAAAAATCGTGAAATTGATTATCCGTTGCAAAAATCATGGGACTTACTATCTATCCAAATACAATCCATAACTATCTTATCACTTTTGGTTAATAAAAAATATGTGAAATTGATTGTCCGTTGCAAAAATCACGGGACTTACTATCTATCCAAATACAATCCATAATTATCTTATCTCTTTTGGTTAATAAAAAATTGTATAAAAGAATATTCACTACCACCATTACAACTCATCATTCACGAGTTCAGAGAAAAAAAAAATACAGAGAATAATTTTTCATCACATATACAATATAATATAATGCTTCCAGGCTGGGTACACTTGATTCCGTTAACAAAAGAAACAAACTTTTTTTTTGCCTCTGAGAGCACCCGCATTATTGAAACCCATCACGAACGACTGTTTCATGATGAACAGGTAATATTTACCTTTGTTATTTCAATTTTATATAATTTAGAAAATTATTTTAATTAATATTTATAAATTTGTATCGTAGGGTGCTTTCATTAAATGCTTATCCGAATATGAGAGCAACAAACTTTATATAAACTGAGAGCAGTTTATATAAACTGAGAGCAGTCTAATTTTTGTAAAATATGTAAACTTTAAACGTGTTTTTATATATAAAATTGTATATACTTGAAACCCATCACGAACGACTGTTTCATGATGAACAGGTAATATTTACCTTTGTTATTTCAATTTTATATAATTTAGAAAATTATTTTAATTAATATTTGTAAATTTGTATCGTAGGGTGCTTTCATTAAATGCATAATACGTTATCCGAATATGAGAGCAACAAACTTTATATAAACTGAGAGCAGTCTAATTTTTGTAAAATATGTAAACTTTAAACGTGTTTTTATATATAAAATTGTATATACTTTTAAACATGTTAGTTGGGCAAACTTTAAGAATATATATATGTGTGTGTATGCGCACTTTAAGTATATATATTTTTCTTATAAAATAGTCTAGACAGAATTGAGGTAATTTCACATTTTTCGATAATAATATAAAATATTTTAATACTTTCACATATGTTATATAATAGTCTACGTATTCTTAATGTCTTTTGGTTGTAACATTGTTAACACATATAATATTAGATACTTGTTGTAGTAATTTTTACCGGAGTTAAATCAAAGATTCGACACCGGGTCGTGTCTCTCGAGGAAGGTTAGCCGGATTATTTTATACGATTATTCAAGCACAAAAATGGAAAATAAAAGAAGTGAAAATCCTAAACATTCTAAATCAAGTTTGGAGATTTGATTATCGTCTACTAATTTAAAAAGCAAATAATTGAACAGGGCAGGCAAACTAGGAATCACAAATTTAATATATAATGAAGGAGCTAGGGTATCGGGGTCGATCAATTCCGGTTCTAAATACACTTAACGAGCAATCAAGAGCTCGGTTGAATGCTTCGCTAAACTACTCATCTAGAGGTCTATCCTCAATAACTCTTCATAACAAGAGGATAGACATTAATAAGCAATTCTTGAAGCAATCAACACATAAGCAATACTATTACGAACAAGCTTATTCCTAACGAGCCTAGATCGAACGAATTCTCCCTTTTCAGTTTTAAAATCGATTTGATAGATTAAGATGGTGATCAATCATCAAAACCCTAAATTAAGCATAACTCGAGAGGATGGAGCAATTATCATGCACATAAATAAAATCAAACCGGAACGATCTTCCCTTAACCCTAGCTAAAGGATTTAGCTACTCATAATGCATTCAACTCCAACACATGTAATAATCAAAGCCATTCAATCAATAAGAAAACGAAACGAAAGCTTACGATTGAAAAATCCAATGTTGAATACACGAATAACCGAATCCACAAGCTTAATCTTCGTGTTTTCACAATCCAAGATCAAATCCTATGAAGAACTAAGAGAAAAACTGTTTTGGAGTGAATAAAAACGAGAGAGAGTCTAAACCTAGGTGAAAAGTCAATGAAAAACTGAACAAAAACGTAGCTTAAAAATTCTGCTGTCGCGACCTCCGCGGCCGCGACTTAGACCTCCGCGGCCGCTGCGAACAACATCTCGCGGCCACGACTTCCTCCGCGGCCGTGACCTCCCCGAGCCAGAAATTGGAATTTACGTGCATCTCGCGGCCGCGGCGAAGAATTTCTGAACTTTGGTTTTCGGGTTCGTCTTCTCTCATCCGGACTCGAAATTTGATCCCGTCTTCTCCATCACGACCCCAACTCATCCAACTAGACAGTAGACCTCGCATAGTCATACACCGAGCCACCAAACCTGCACATCACCACCGACAAGAAATACGGGAAACCGGGGAAAACGAACAAAAAGACCAAAAACGACTAAAACAAAGGATAAGTACGAGACGACTCGAAACGGACCAAAAACCAAAGAAAAATACCTAAGTAGGGGAAAAACAAGCATGAAATAAACAAAGAAAACATGACAAAAGTGGAACGAACAATACTTTTAAACATATTTAGATAATTTTTTTACTCATTCTTTAATATCTATGTGCATAAAAAGAGAATAAGATTTATAAAAGATTTTCCGGCAATATACTAAATGTTAGATAAAAAAATCTCATTTTATTTGTTATATAATATTTCGAGTTGCATTAATTTTGATTTGTATGTGTAAACTTGATAAATTAAACGTATGAAAAGGAGCGTACGAATTACTGTAAGGATTTAAAAAATAAAAAATAAATCTAATTTTTTAATATTTTCTACTAACTTCTAAACGTATTTATGTCATAATTCGTTATAATTTTCCCACATCATGTCAATATTAATTTTATATATACTAGGTAAAGGTAAATCATTATCTCAATATTTATTTTATATATTCTAAGTAAATCTTCTCATCTATCTCAGCGGTCCGCAGGTAGTATTTCATACTTTTCTATTCATAATCAAATATATCAAAGCTTCACAAATTTTACTTCACAAAGAAAGTGTTCAATAATTTATATTTTTTTCCCTTCTTTGCAATCCATTTATTTTTGTTACATATATATAAATTATATTATTTTTAATATTTCACACGTTAAACATTTCAGGAAAATATACCATCCCGTGCATTGCACGGGCTACGCACTAGTTGTATATGAAACCGATACATACTAAATATTTAATAATAATAATCTTTGGTTTGTGTAACTATTTTATTGGATGTATCATAAATACTTTTATTAAATGATTTGTCTATTTTTATTAAATGTTGGCAAGAATTTTATTAAATGAACTCATATTTTTATTAATTGCTACTGGAATAAAATTAAATGAAGTTTGCTAGCAATTATATATACTAGTAATCAACCTGTGCATTTGCACAGAGAATAGTACGTTAGAAAGATAACAATATCAAAAATTATAAATCATAATTTAATTCATGAAAAAATACGAATTAAAAAAATAATTCTCAAAATTGATTTTGATCAAGTAATTGCTATGGAAGAGCCGTTACAACCATTTTCTTTATGCTAATACATCAGGCCATTTTCATGAGTAGGTGTGACTTAAAATTTGAGTACAATTTTGTAACTCCCTTGATTGATTTATGCTCATAATTTATGGCATTCAAGAAAAATTATTTTGTAACTTAAAATGAAATCGAATGTTGAAAATTTTGGAGGGATCGGAATTAGGCTGACCCTGCTGGAGCTTTTTGAAATAGGTCTCGTAGGCAGTACGTTTCATATACTCCTTAGCTATCCGCCGGTTCAGAATAAGGTCAGCCTGCTTGAGCTTATTAAAGTTGATACACCGCATCTCAGACTTGTCCTGAAGCGCCATTTCCCCATGTAATCTGTATGCTTCCGGAGTGACGTCGAAGTGGCGAGCGAGTGCGGTAACGAAATGTCCGAGCGCTTGTAGTCCACGCTTGGAGAGGGCAATCTCCTGAAAAGAGTTCTGAAGGAAGGTCATCGAACACACTCGCACTCCGGACCGCATCGCCCAGAGGAGAAAAAGTTCACCCTCACTGACTTTGTCGCCTTCTTTTTGCCGGTAATATTGTAGCAGATGAACCGGTGCACAACGGCAGTGGCCAGGTCCTGGATAAGCCCGTTGGACATACCAGCGGAATCCCACGTCGTATGCGGGGAGAGCTCGGCCCAACTCTTCTGGGGATCGAAATCGGCGGCTTTGCTTCGTGTACCGGCAAAGTTGAACCCGCAAACCGCCTTCATCACGGCATTGTCCACCACGAGTTCTTGTCCCTTAAGCCGACAAGTGAAGAAGTCGTTCCCATCGGCGAGAACGAAAGAATTGTAGAACTCAAGCATAAGGGTCCGGTACGACCTCTCCTCAATCTTAGCGTAGTCGGTTAAGTTCAAGACCTTGAGGTACTTCATCACGTCCTCCAGGATACCCAACTCGTTCAAAAGGTCCCAGTCCACTGCCTTGGGTCTCACGACCTCCTTTTGCGAGAGACGGGCATTAATCTCGCCCTCCTTCCGAGAATAAATCGGGAACGGGGCCCCGTATTGGTCCAAAAGATCATCTCGTGCACCTTCCGGAGGGGCGTCACGAGAGGAGGATTCGCCCGCTTGACGCTTCCTAGGCGGTTCTTGAGTGGTTTTCTTTTTGGTGGAACGAAATGGATTCTTGCCCATTTGAACGGTCTATCGGGCAATATGTCAAACACTTGGCGTGCGGAATGTCGAACTAAAAACTTGGGAGCGATTCAAAATGGTTCGATCTCGGAGTTGGCCCCCTCACGCCTCAACAATAATCAAACAACAATCACGGAGAGCTAACTATACCTTTGGAGTTGAATTCGGGCACGAAACGAGTAAGTGCACGAGCTAGGTGACGTGGATTGGTGAAAGACGATTTACTGCCGGAAATGTTCGCCGTTGGAGGTCCGCTTGTCGGAAGGTGCTGCTGTGGGTAGGTCGCCGGACTAGGTTGGTCGGAGGTTGTCGGAATTTGGAGGGAATGCACGGCTAGGGTTCGGAGGGTGAAAATCCCGCGCGTGGTTTGCAAGAGAGTAGAGGGTGATTGTGTCGCCGGAATCGCGGGATGCCGGAGGGACGTCGCCGGAAATTGGATGATCGGCGGTGGTCGGAAGGCGGGTGCAGTGAGAGGGGTGGTCGCGGTCGTTCGAAAATGAGGAGAGGTGAGACGGGTGTTCAAGCCGACAAAAGGGTTTTAAAACTGAACGTCGCGATCGCCGCGGCCGCGACCACTCCCGCGGCCGCGAGGTTTTAGTCCCAGAAATTAAGTTTCGCGAACAACACAACGCCGCGGCCGCAGCGATGAACACTTCCGCGGCCGCGACCTTACCCCGCGGCCGCGAGAATTCTCCATGGCCGCGAAATTCTTCCCACAGAAACCGATGTCAAGAGCCAAGAAAATGGTCGCCGCGGCCGCGGCGAAGAAATACCTCGCGGCCGCGACACTACTCCGCGGTCGCGAGATACTCCGAGGCCATGAGATTTTTCCTGCAGAAATCGATATCTAACCGGCACAAAATGATCTCCGCGGCCGCGGCGAAGAAAAGGCCCGCGGCCGCGACGTCAATTTATATATATATATATATATATTTTTTTTATATTATATTAAAATAAATATATATATATATATATATATATATATACAAAAAGTACAAGAATAGGCTCGGTTTATCGCCGGGAGCTCGGCACTAGTCTGGATCAAGGATACAGTGGCTCGTCGAGACTGATAGTCTCGACATGATTCTTTTCGAACTCTCCTTCGAAATAAGGCTTGACCCTTTGCCCATTGACTACGAATAACTCGCCATTTGCTGGATTTCGAAGTCGAACAGCTCCAAGTGATAACACCTCATCGATAAGATACAGTCCGCTCCACCGTGATTTGAGCTTTCCCGGAAAGAGACGAAGTCAGGAGTTGAATAAAAGGACTTTCATACCAGGCACTAGATTCTTCCGGACAATGGTCGAGTCGTGAAGCTTCTTAACTTTGTCCTTGTAAATTTTGGAGTTCTTGTAGGCCTCGTTCCTCAACTCTTCGAGTTCAGAAAGTTGCCACATCCGCTCTTGCCCGGCTGCGTCAAGATCAAAATTCATCCGTTTTATCGCCCAAAATGCCTTGTGCTCGATCTCGACTGGAAGGTGGCACGCCTTTCCGTAGACGAGCCGAAACGGGCTCATCCCCAAGACTCCCTTGTAAGCTGTGCGTTGGGCCCACAGTGCATCATCAAGACGGTTGGACCAATCCTTCCTGGACGAGTTGACCGTCTTTTCCAGAATGGTTTTGATCTGCTTGTTGCTCGTTTCTGCCTGACCCGACGTCTGTGGATGGTATGGAGTGGCCACCTTATGTGAAATGCCGTATTTCTTCATCAGCTTCTCGAATATCCGGTTGCAAAAATGCTTGCCCCCGTCACTCACAATAGCTCGCGGAAATCCAAACCTGCTCAACACATGACCTTGCAAAAACTTGATAACCACATTAGCATCACACGTCCTTGTGGGGATAGCCTCAACCCATTTGGACACGTAATCTACAGCAAGAAGTATATACTCAAAGCCAAAAGACTTGGGAAATGGTCCCATAAAATCAATGCCCCATACATCAAAGATTTCAACTTGAACATTGTTAACTAAGGGCATTTCATTTCTAGAACTAATATTCCCAATTCTTTGACAACGGTCACAAGATTTACAAAAGTTATGAGCATCTTTAAAGAGAGTAGGCCAAAATAAACCTGATTGGAGAACTTTGAGAGCGGTCTTCCTCCCTCCAAAATGGCCTCCACATTGGAACTCGTGGCAAAACGCGGGAACATCTGCTTGTTCTTCTTCGGGCACACACCTCCGAAGGATTTCATCTTTTCCCACTTTGAAAAGGAATGGGTCCTCCCAAAAGTAACTCCTGCACATCAAAACAAAGCGTTTCCTCTCCTGGGAAGAGAGGTTAGACAACAATATTCCACACGACAAGTAGTTCACAATGTCTGCATACCAAGGAATAGTAGTCACTTCACTAACATGCTCGTAAGGAAAATTATCATTCACACCAACACGTTCATGCAATGAAAGTGAAGAATCAGAAGGAACAATACGAGACAAATGATCAGCAACAACATTTTCACATCCTTTTCTATCCCTAATCTCTACATCAAACTCTTGCAAAAGAAGGATCCACCGAATAAGCCTAGGTTTCGATTGAGTTTTACTCAAAAGATACCTAAGGGCTGCATGGTCGGAATGCACAATTACTTTAGATCCTAAGATATAAGATCTAAATTTTTCAAGAGAAAACACAACAGCCAAAAGTTCTTTCTCAGTGGTAGTATAATTCAATTGGGCACCATTGAGAGTCAAACTAGCATAATAAATCACACGAAGCAATTTATCAACTCGTTGGCCCAAAACGGCCCCAACGGCAAGGTTCGAAGCATCACACATAATCTCAAAAGGCAACGACCAATCAGGAGCTATTACAATGGGTGCAGTCACAAGCTTATTCTTTAACTTATCAAAGGCATCTACACATGCATTATCAAACACAAATGGCACATCATTAGCAAGCAAGTGACACAAGGGCTGACTAATTTTCGAAAAATCTTTAATAAATCTCCTATAAAAGCCAGCATGACCCAAAAAACTTCTAACTCCCTTAACATTCACAGGAGGAGGGAGTTTTTCAATAACATCAATCTTAGCCTTATCAACCTCAATACCACGATTAGACACCACATGGCCTAACACAACTCCACTAGTCACCATAAAATGACTCTTCTCCCAACTCAAGGTCAAATTAGACTCAACACACCTTTCAAGCACACGAGATAGATTATGGAGACAATCAGAAAATGAAGTACCAAAAATAGAGAAGTCATCCATAAATACCTGTAAGCAGTCCTCGAGCATGTCGGAGAAAATGGAGAACATGCACCGTTGGAAAGTCCCGGGAGCATTGCACAGGCCAAAGGGCATACGTCTGAAGGCAAAGGTGCCGAATGGGCACGTGAAAGTTGTTTTGGGCTGATCCTCCGGAGCTATGGCCACTTGGTAGTACCCCGAGAGACCGTCGAGGAAACAATAGAACTGGTGCCCTGAGAGACGGTCGAGAATCTGATCAATGAACGGCAACGGAAAGTGGTCCTTCTTTGTTACGGCGTTGAGTCGCCGGTAATCAATGCACATTCTCCACCCGGTAGTGATACGGGTGGGGACCATCTCTTTCTTCTCGTTCTCGATGACGGTGATGCCCCCTTTCTTAGGCACCACATGGATCGGGCTGACCCACTCGCTGTCGGCCACTGGATAGATGAGTCCTTCGGAGTAAAGTTTCAGCACCTCCTTCTTCACAACCTCCATCATGTTCGGGTTGAGCCTCCGTTGGCTGTCCCGAACAGGCTTAGCACCCTCCTCCAGAATGATACGGTGCATGCACATGGAAGGGCTGATGCCCTTAATGTCTCCTAAACTCCAGCCAATGGCTTTCTGGTTCCTCTTAAGTACCTCAATCAGCTCCTTCTCCTCTTCCCGGTTAAGCTCGGCAAAGATGATAACCGGCTTTTGCTTCTCATCGTCAAGGAACACATATTTGAGGTGGCGAGGAAGTTCTTTAAGCTCTAGTGTGGGTGGGTTCGGTTTGTCGGGCTCGTCTGCTACAAAGAGCTCGATGGTTGGCTCTTCTCCTTCATCAAGATCGGGTAATGACCTTTCCGCCAGGTCTCGTACGGTCATCTCTCCCACGAACGAATCTGCTACATCAACGAAGGCACACTCCTCCACAAAGTTAACTGAAGAAGCAGATGTGGCTTTCCGAACTGAGATAGATACGGATTCGCCTAAGACGGTCATGTTCAAGGTCCCGTTCTTGACATCAATGAGGGTGTTGGTGGTGGCCATAAACGGTCTGCCGAGAAGGATAGTGTGATTCTTCCCGTTTTCGTGCACATCCCCCACATCCAAGACGACAAAATCTACCGGGATAATGAGCTTCCCCACACGAACAAGGACATCCTCAACTACCCCCTTGGGGTATCTGATCGAACGGTCAGCCAGCTGGAGGCACATTCGGGTTGGTCTCAAATCACCGAGACCCAACCGTTGAAAGATTGAGAACGGCATAAGGTTGATTCCCGCTCCAAGGTCAAGCATCCCAGAGGCTTCTTTTCCGTTTCCGAGGGCTATTTGAATCACAAAGCCTCCGGGATCTCGTTCTTTCTTTGGAAGGTCATGCTGCATAGCACTTGCAGCCTCGTAAACCACTACCTTCTCCCCGTCTCCGAATTTCCTTTTCTTCGTCACTAAGTCCTTGAAGAACTTCACGTACGAGGGCATACTCTTGATCACGTCCAGGAGTGGCAGGTTGACGTTGACCTTCGAGAGCATGTTGTATAGGTCCCGAAATTGCTGTTCCTGCTTCTCGTCCCGGAGTCGGCTTGGGAAGGGTATGCTTGGTTTGAAGGGGTTTGGTGACTTGTGTAACGTTGAGCCGTCTGTCTGCTTCTTGGGTTCAGCTTCTGTGTTCTTCTTCGAGCTCTCCTCTACCCTTTTGGGCTGGTTGGCTGGTGCAAGGTCATCAGGCTCGGGCATTTTCACATGGTTGTCTACCTCTTTCCCGCTTCTCAAAACCGTGATTGCCTTGGCTTCCTTGGGCTGGCTAGGTAGCTTCCCTTTGTCTGAGTCTGCCTCCATGTTCCCAACTCTTGTAGCCAGCTGGCCCAACTGTGTTTCCAAGCGTTTGATAGAAGCATCTGTGTTCACGCCCCTTTGCTCACTGTTTGCCATAGACTGGAGAATCTTGTCCAGCTTATCGTCTTGGTTAGTTGCACTGGGTCCGGCCCCTTGTGCCTGCATTCCTCCCATTGGGCTCCTCTGCTGTTGCTGATGCTGCTGTTGAGGGTAGTTTGGCCTCATCTGCTGTTGGGGAATGAAGGTGGGTCGGGGCTGTTGCTGCATGAAGTTCTGCCGAGGAGGCTGCTGGATGTTGTTGTTGTTAGACCACGAGAGATTTGGGTGATTTCTCCACCCCGGGTTATACGTGTTTGAGTATGGGTCGTTGGCAGGCCGATTCTGGTAGCCTTGAAGAGCATTGACATCTTCGTATTGTTCCCCATAATCTTGATCGAAAGCTGATGGGCACACCTCCGACCTGTGCCCTTGTACTCCACATGCTCCACACGCTTCTACGGCCATGGTCTGCATTGGTTGGCCTCCCCTTGCATTCAGTAGCCGCATCTGCTCTGTGAGCTCGGCTAGCTGTTGTGCCATCATGTCTCTTCCCTCTACTGCTCTTTTGAGACGAGTTAGAACTCATCGCCTCAAAAATATCAATCATCTCTTCTGCCGTCTTCGCCCCAATATCTCCACCAGCTGCATTATCCACCATGTATTGAAGATTCTGATGGAGGGAGTCATAGAAACTGTTCACCAGCAGGGCCGTAGGGAAATTGTGATGTGGGCACTGTCTCTGGAGGTCTTTAAAACGCTCCCATGCTTCATGAAGTGGCTCGTTTGGTTGTTGGGCAAAAGAGACGATTTGAGACCGGAACTCTTGGGTCTTCTGGTGAAAGTAGTATTTTCCAATGAACTTGGTATACACTTGCTCCCAAGTAATGAGGGAGTCGGGAGCAAGTGTCATAAACCAAGNTATTTTTATTAATTGCTACTGGAATAAAATTAAATGAAGTTTGCTAGCAATTATATATACTAGTAATCAACCTGTGCATTTGCACAGAGAATAGTACGTTAGAAAGATAACAATATCAAAAATTATAAATCATAATTTAATTCATGAAAAAATACGAATTAAAAAAATAATTCTCAAAATTGATTTTGATCAAGTAATTGCTATGGAAGAGCCGTTACAACCATTTTCTTTATGCTAATACATCAGGCCATTTTCATGAGTAGGTGTGACTTAACATTTGAGTACAATTTTGTAACTCCCTTGATTGATTTATGCTCATAATTTATGGCATTCAAGAAAAATTATTTTGTAACTTAAAATGAAATCGAATGTTGAAAATTTTGGAGGGATAATAAAATTTAATGCACGATAATATAATTAAATGCTATGTTGCTACTCTTTATGTATATATAGATATAGATAGGTTTTTATAAATGTTTAGTTAGCAATTATATATATATATATAGGTTAGGGATCATATGAGACTGAGTCTTAATGTGAGAAATGAGAATGAATTTGGAGCATTGGATCTACAACATTAATGGCCATGATGAAGTCAAACTAAATTAAAATTAGTCAAAATCGCAGTGGCATAATTGTAAATATTTGAACATTATTGGATCAAATATAACCATTTAGGGCAAATATGTAATTTTGACCCATCATCAAAACCAGTGGGCCCCACCCACATTCATTGCATCACCTCTCTCTCTCCTCTCTTTTCTCTCTCCCGTTCCATCTTCCCTTCTCTCTCCCCCCGCAACCGGAAGCTCACAGGTCACGGCCTGCCACACCGATTCCGGCACGCCACCGCCACCGCAACTGCAACGAGTCCGCCGACCACGTTGCCGTCGTCGTCAGACCGCTGCCACGATCCGTCCGTCAAGTCCGGCAAAGCTCACGGCGAAGGTGCTCCAGTCGACGGCCACTGCACTCGAAGCCGTCAACAAACCTCCACCTCGCCTCCTCCTTCAGCCACCAGTCCGCCGTTTCGCCTCATCCGTCCGGCCACAACATTCTCGGCTCAGCTCCGACATCCGCCGTCCGCCATCATCCTCCAATCGCAGGTCACCGCCATCCTCCATCCTCATCACCTCCGCCATCAATCCGACCACCATACTATATAACAAGAGAAGTTGCAGGTCGCCGGTGAGAACCACCACCATACCGAGCCAGCCCTCGTCCGCCGCCACTGAGCCCGTCGCCGCCACAGCCCCGCTGTGCCGTCGTCGGCAGAAGGCAGACCACATACATCAATTTTGCATTTTTAGATTTTGTGGCTTGTTTTTTGAAAAATTGATATGTTTAAAGCACTTAATTGCAATTTTATAAACTTTAAGATACTACAATTCAATATATGGGTCAAATTTATAATTTATAAAAAATTAAACACTTGCACATTAATGTTATGCACATTGCACGTTGGGATAATTAAAGTTGCACATTATTGTTATGTAAATTGCACCTTAATATTTTTATCTCACATTTTATTTATTTTGATCGAAAAAATAATATTTTTTATAAAAAAATATAAAAAATAGTATTTTTATATATTTCGGTTATTAAACAAAAATTAAATAAATAAAACAACAAAACAGACATCGATCTGAAATAACTAAAATTTTAAAAGTAAACACATATAATCGACTCGACATAAAATTCGAACAAAAAAAATTAATTCAGTCGGGTGTAGTTCCTATAGTGCAATCTAATAATCACTAAGGTGCAATCTGTCTATAGTTAAAGTGCAATTCGGAAGACATTAACGTGCAATCAGTCTGACTCTAATGCACATTCAAAGTGCAATTATTTTTTCAATGTAAAAAATAAAAAATAAATAAAAAATTGACATCAAACCAAAATAATCGAGTTTTTTAATGTAAAACTATAAATAAATAAATCGAACTGAAATATAAAATGTGTATGTTAATCGAGGTTGATACGTGCATTTCAATTTTTAAGAACCTTTTAATAATGTGTATGTTAATAAAAATTATTTTGCATTAACCAAAAGATTTATTTAATTAATAAAGATATTTTGTATTTATAATTATTAAATATATGAAATATTATGAAATATTTTATATGGTGCAACATGTTGTGTTATAAGGTGCAACATATTACCGCATAAAGTACAACGTAACATGTATATAAATTGCACTAGCTAATTTATAATTTCTCAGATAAATCATGTATAGATTATGAGTATAATTATACATTGAATTAACCTAAATAATTAATATATATATAACTGAATAGTAAAAAAGAACAACTAAATTGACCTATATAAACTTTACAAAAAAAATATATGTACATATATATTCCAATTCATTTCGGTCGGTACATATGTTACGTTAAAGTGCAATATCAAATGCTCAAAAGTACAATATTTTCGTCATTAAAGTGCAATGTGTCCTTCACTATTTTAATATTTTTATATTATCTTAATAATATTTTATTATTTTTATTAATATAAATAATTGAAATAATTATTATTTATAGTATATTAATATATTTATTATTTTAATATTTTTAATTAATATTTTATACACTTCTTTTTTGTTGAAAAATACATAATTTATATATGTATAAAAAATATATTCAAAATAATATTTTTTTATATTTTTTTATATTTACAGATTTGACCCTAGAGGCTAAATTGTAATATAAACAACATTTAAGAAAATTGCAAATGAGACCCTCGAAACTATCTAATTCTCAAATACATGCCCAAAAATTAGACCCAAATTCACAGTCCGTTTTTGTCCATTTTTCCGGCAACCGGACTTCAGCCAAGGTCATGACGGACCCTCCGATGACATCGGTGTGGCCCCTGTCAGCCGACAGTCGCAGAGAGGGGCAAATCCGGCGGCGCGTGGTGGTGGAAGAGATGCCGTCTCGACCTCTGAAAGCTGGCGACGGTCCCCCTGAAGTGGAGAGTCGTGACGAGGGTGAGGGGCGGAATCGAAAAATGTATGGGGCGGCAGCGGCAGAAGAAAACGGTGACGACTTGCAGGTGGACGGCGGTGGTGGAGAAATGCGGTGGTTGGGGCGGAAGAAAACGGCGATGACTTGAAGGTGGACGACGGCGGCGGGTGCGGCGGAGTTGGTTGTGGTGCCGGCGTGTGTGTGTGAGGTTGTGCATGCTCACAGTATGTTGCGGCGAGGATGCCAGCGGGTGACAGCGGCGGAGACCGGCGGTCGATGGTGGAGGAGCTCATTGTATATATGTATATGTGTGTGTGTGTGTGTGCGTGTGTGTGTGTGTGTGCGATTAATGTACAGTGTGTGTGCGTTAATGTATTGTGTATAGTGTGTGTTTTTAATGTGTACAGTGTGTGTCTGGTGGGTGTGTGTGCAGAGTGTGTGTGCGTGTGTTAGGTGTGTGCGCGTGTGATTTGTATGTGTTAGGTGTGTGGGGTGGGTGATGTGGGTAGTAATTACAACCAATATACCCTTAATGAAGGTATAATTTTAGTTTTTTTAGTCATTAGATCATCCGATCTAATGGCTACGATTTATTCCTATTTCTCGCGTTAAGAGTCATTCTCACCGGATCCCAACCCTATATATATATATATATATATAGTTAATGTATTAACCAATCTATATCTATATATATATATATAATTGCTGGCAAGCTTCATTAAATTTTATTCAGCCAATAATTAATAATAATAGTAGTTCATTTAATAAAAATAGGTATTCATTTAATAAAAATATATTCGCCATTTAATAAAATGTAATTTTTAGTTACACGATTTATTTTCACATGTATCATTTTAGATGATGCCCATTTCTGTAACGTATTTTTATGTCTTGAAATACAAAATATTTTTGTTTTTATTTTGATACTATATATATTTTGGTATTATATAAATACATATTTCACAATTAATTAAGAATGACTACAAATATTTCTATTTTCCATTGCAGTCATACAATAATAAAAAATATTTTTTCGAATATTATAAAGATATATCAAATATTTTAAAAAATCAAATCCCATTGTTTGTCTCATTTTTGTTGCATTTTTTGTGCTCGTTTCGCTTTTCCTTTCCCCCCATTTTAGGTCGTTTCGGGTTTTATTATGTGTTTTCCTTCATTTTGAGTCTTTAAGTGTTTTTCGTTTGTTTTTCCGGTTGTTTTTGTGTTTTATCGTTTTTGGTGTGTAGGTCGGGAGCTTCGGGTGAACTTTATCTTCAGGGAAAATTGGTTTCGAGAGCATAATTGGATAGAGGGGTTCGTTAGCGACGCGTAGGAAAAAACAAAATTCAATTATGAGTTCGGACGAGCCTAAACGAGCCCGAAACATTAAGCTGCGCACAGCAGCCCAATTTTCTTCACCGCGGGCAGCGGAGGAATCCCGCAGCCGCGGAGCCCTTCTGCAGCTGAAATCTCGCAGCCTCGGAGCTTCCCGCGGCCGCGGAGGTCGCGACCAGAATTTTAAAATCTAGATTTTGTTCATTTGTTCGAGTACTTTTGCACGGGGACTCGTTCCCAGACCTAAAATAACACCCCAAGCTCGTTTTTCTCCTGATTTTCATTTGAGAAAACACAATTGATCTTGGTTTTCATCTTGATTTCTTTATTGCCTTCGGATTAATCTCGTATCTCGGATTCAATATTCAATACCGTCTTAATCGTAAGTTTTTTCTATTCATTTAATCCATGAATATGATTGTTGTGATTGTTGAGCTTGATTGTGTTGAATTGAATATGAATAATTAATTCGATTAGCTAGGGATAGGGGATGATTTTTTGAATTCGATTGTGATTATCGTGCTTGTTGATCCTTCAATTTATGCAAGTTGTTTTTAAAAGGGTTTTCGGTTATCATACTTGATTGTTGAATATTGTTGATGAGTGACACCTCAAGTTGCAAATGATTTTCAATTGGACATGATTCATTCGGGTTTGATGTTGTTAATTCTTACAGATTAGTCGATTAACCACCTTCTAGTCCAATTTAATCGACTCTTAGAACCGAAAGGGTAGGAGTTGATCGATCTAGGCTCGTATAAAATAGGCTTGTTCGTAACTGTATTGCCTATGTGTTAAACGACTCGTGAATTTACCGTTCACATTTATTCTCTTGTTACGAAAAGTTATTGAGGATGAATCTCTGAACGAGTAGGTTATTCAAATCCTTTAACTGAATGATCACTTGTCCGCTAATTGCATTTCGAATCGAAATAGATATTCCCGACTCCCTAGCTTCTTTATCATTGTTTGTTTCATGTTTTTGAGTTAATTTATGTTTTATGCATTTTCTGTTATTTTCTAGTTGACAGCTCAAACCCCAATCGTGATTAAAGTGTTTAGGATTTATTTTGCTTTTGTGTTCGATCAACATCGAATCTAGATTCCGAACCGCCTTCCTTGAGAGATTGACCCCGGGAACGAATCTTTCGATTCGGTACTCGGTAAAAAAAAATAATGCTACAACACTTAACGGTCAACGTTTATAGCCTGGGACCAAATGTGGGAAACAACAAAAGTTTTGGGACCAAATTTGCAATTTTCTCAAAGAGTAAGTGATAAAAATTATTTAAATTTATTTTTATTAGAAACATTTTAATAAAAATTTTTTAGTAAATGTTAAAAAGGTATATTACCATTATTTCCTAACAATACATTTAGTTTATTTTTTAATAAATCATGAAAGATAAATATAACTAACATACAATTCTTTCACATTCTTTTAACTTAAATTAAAGTTTAACTTGATTTTTTTACATAAAATGATTATTTAATTGGGTAACTTAACAAAAGGTGTATAAAATAATTTTATTATAAATAAGTGAGAGGAAATGTCTATTTTCACTTAATTTAATGCCAAATTTTATTTATTATGCTTAAAATTGAAATTTTTTATGTAGATGTAATTTGCATAAATAAATAGATTTTTCAATTTATAGTTGTCAAAATCAAATTGATAATAAAAAGTTATTAAAATAAAAATAGACAATAATAAAAAAAAAATTGTTTAGATTGAATTTTTTTTTAATTCGTATTATTTAATAAAGTTTGTAAGGATATATATAAATTATCACATTATACTAATATTTAAAAGTGTAGACAGATTAGTATTATTGTAAGCATATTCACATTTTTTCTTATTTTGATAAATTGGATTATGTCTTTTGGTTTGCTTTATTTAATTAAAATAATATTATTTCTAAATATTTTTTAATTCTTGTTACGAAAAGTTATTGAGGATGAATCTCTGAACGAGTAGGTTATTCGAATCCTTTAACCGAATGATCACTTGTCCGTTAATTGCATTTCGAATCAGAACAAATATCCCCGACTCCCTAGCTTCTTTATCATTGTTTGTTTCATGTTTTTGAGTTAATTTATGTTTTATGCATTTTCTGTTATTTTCTAGTGGACAGCCCAAACCCCAATCGTGATTAGAGTGTTTAGGATTTGTTTTTTTTTTTTTGTGTTGTCAATACCTCTTCTAAATTTCGAATCGCCTTCCTCGTGAGATCGACCCGGGGAACGAATCTTTCGATTCAATACTCGGTAAAAATAACAATTTGTACACAACACACATAAAATAAATCCCTCTTCTAAAATGGTCCTACAATATATTTAAAAATTATAATATTAGATGCATAAATTTAACTTATAATACTCTATGTTTTAAATTTTAATATCATTATCTACTTTATAATTTTAATACTACACACATATAGATAATTTAAAACATTTTACTTATATTTAATATCATTATCTACTTTATAATTTTAATACTACACACATATAGATAACTTATAACATTTTACTTATATCTGTGCAAATGCATACTAGTTGTATTAAATTATTTTATAGTTTTGTTTGTGTTAGTTTTATAGTAATGAAAGTATAAAAGGGTCTTTGACTCTTGAGAGTGATGAGTCGGGTTTTACGATCAAATCAGGAGATGGCGGAGTAAGGTTAGGACGGTGCAGGGGAAGAAGATGGCAAGCCACTGCAAATTTTGGCTCCCCAAGAAGAAGAGATTCTGTGCAAACACCACTCTGCACAATTCCTCGTAATCGCTTTCTCTTACACCTTCTTTTTCTTCCTCCCTTCCACCATCCTTTACTAATTATACCTTTAATTCCAATGGTTCAGATTCTGCGGAAACCACACCCAGAGGCTCGACGCTCGCTGGGTCCCGTGCCCAATCGACCCCTCTCAGTAAACCACTATTTTCACCCTTCAAGCAACTTATTAGCTTCGATTTCTTTGTGTGTGTGCGTGTGCTTGTTGGGTAATTATGTAATGCTTGTTTTGGCAGCTCTGTGCTTGAGGAAAATCTTGAGAGCCACTTGAATCGATGCCCATTGATGAAAAGAGAGCTGTCTCTCTCGTGTCAACCTTTCTACCAAAGGGGCATTAATGCTGGACCAGGAGATGATGAGGAAAATGAAGGAGAAGAAGAAGAAATGGTTACCACATTCACTTCGGAGATGAAAAGAAATGCGGTGTATAACATGACCGTGTCGGGTTTCTCCGAGTTAATTGCTAAGATCAAGTTGGTTCATGCATCCATATGCAATGACATTCAAGAGTCTTACAAGATTCCGGAAGCTTGTAGAATTTGGACTAATAGAGAAGTTGACAAGTATGATGTGTATACCAAAAGTTCACATCTTTATGCATTTTCAGGCACCTAAGCTTATAATACTTGAACTCTATGCTAATTGAGTATGTTGTCGATTTTCAGGAAACTGCCTTATCAGGAGAAGCACGTTTTACAACAGGCATCAATTCTAGGGAATTTAGAAGAGTTTAGGGTTTTAAAGAAATCTTCTTCGAGTCCTAGTGGGACAGGTGAGTGTTGTGATTCAAATAATGAACTGGAGAGTAATGCCGATCATTCTGCAGTGATCGAATTTGGTGCTGGAAGAGGATATTTGACACAGATGCTTGCGGATTGTTATGCAATAAAAAAGGTGTTATTGGTGGAGCGCAAGGCATATAAATTAAAAGTCAGTTTTGAGTGTGCTCTCGCTTTTTGTTTACTTTGTAGTGTTTATGGTGGTTATCGTGATTTCAGATGTGACGATGTCTTTGATCTTCTGTAGTATTTTCATCATGGATTGAAGTTTCTTATTTGTCCATTGTGCTTGCTGATGATACCCTTAGGCTGACCGGAGTTTGCGACAGAAAGAGAGCTTAGTATTGGAGAGACTGAGAATTGACAGTAAGGTTTCCAAAATCTTGTTTTTCCAGCACTTGAATAATATATTGTTTACACTTTTTACTCAGTTTCTTCTGCATTTCATATTATTAAAAGAGTTTATGGTGTGAATTTCTGAATGCTTTTCTATTGAACATGAAAACCCTTTAAATAGGGAATGATACAACATAATAAAAGGAAACAATATATACACCAAATCAATCACAATAAATAATAATCACAGAAAATCAGCCGAGTATCTCGGCTGATTATATGCATTGCTAAGAATTATGCCTCTAAAACTGATAAAAAAGTTGATGTCCAAAATAAATACTTAAAGGGGTTTGTGCTTGAATGCCATTCAGTCAAATGCTTCACTACTTCATTCAGTTAACCTGGATCGTGATTCTTTATAAGACTACATATTTTCCAATCGTTTATTTTTAATTTAATTGTAGGGGGAAGAAGTGCTTCAATCTAGTTCAGTGTTATACTTCTTGGCCGGCAATGATATTATGCCACTAGTGAATTAGAATCTTATGATTACATTAAAGTGGTAAAACGCATCTGCAAATAACTAAACTTATTTTTATATTTTTGTGCGAGTATGCATAAACATTTCTCCTCTTCTTAATGCAGCGATTGCCGTGCCAGTCTGCTGCATAAATATCAAGTTTATCATATAAAAACTTGTGTTACGTGGATAATATCGATGCAGTTTTTGTTGTTTCTTAGTAGTTTTAGCATGTAAACGATATTACATTACATTTTCTTTTTAAATTATAAGAGATACTTTCGGTGTGTGTTGTTTCTACGTTATTCCAAGATTGGGTTTGTCTCGACTAGCGCACAAAAGTGCTTTAACCTGAGAACTGATTTTGTTCAAACCCTTCACTTGCAGTTGAGGATTTGGATTTGAATGCTGTAGAATCACTAAAAGGAGTAGGCTACACGGCAATTGGCAAACACCTCTGCGGGCCTGCAACAGGTAATGGCAGGTCCTAGAAACAGGCATTTGATTATTACATGATATGTGACTAAAACATATGTTTAATTCCAGATGTGACCTTAAGATGCTGCATTCGCCAAAACTCAAACAAAAACTCCGATTCTCAGTCGCCAGCAACTTGTTACATGAGAGGCCTAGCCATTGCAACATGCTGCCATCATCTCTGCCAATGGAGACACTACATAAGTACTCAATTGAAACCTCCCATATTATGTTTAATAAATATATTTCTTTTTAGCTGTCAACATGCCTGTTTCATCTGTCCTAATATAATAACTAATGGTCTCAGTTTATTCACCATGCAGATAAGAAATATATATTGGATTTGGGTTTCAGCAAACAGGATTTCCATGCGATTTCATGGTTCACGAGCTGGGCTGTGGATGCAGATCATAGTTCAGATTTTCGTGTTGCAGATTTCCCTACTCAACTCCAGATCTCGTAAGACTTAACCATTCATTTCATTTGCTTCTAAATGTAATTTCTGTCGATTTGTTTTTTTTGTTTTTTTGTTTTTTTGTTTTCCTTTTATCCTTTTTCTGTATCGAACTTGGGATTTAAATATTTATTTATTATTCTAGGAATGAGAAGAAAACGTTGTGCCCCGACTCAGAATTAGTGGGAGTGGGAGATGTAGTGAGAAATATGGAGGCAATTGAACGTGCTGTGTTGGGGTATATGTGCAAGGACATTATTGATGCTGGGAGGCTGATGTGGGCCAAGTCACGAGGACTCCAATCCGAGCTCGTCAATTATGTTCCTATTAGCATTTCTCCCGAGAACCGCCTCTTACTTGCCAGGAATAAACGACGTCTCTTCTCTTGATGTACAAGGGTAACAATTTTTATTTTATTTTTTTTCGTGAGGATATGCATTATATAATTTATTTGAATAGCTGAAAGTCATTTGTTATGACAGTGATAGGAGTTGTTTGCATTGTTTTAAAATAGCAACTGAACTGATAGGAGAGAAAGCAAGTGTATTACCAACCAATACACGTGGTCCTTTAGAATATTTTAACGATTGACATTATTTTATTTCATCTTTGAATACAAGAATACAATAATAATATAATTAGTAAAATTTTAAAATACAAAAAGAAAGAAATATTTAAGATACATTATACATACAATGAAAAACAAAAGAATAATATTATTTTATATAAAAATCAGTGTTCTAAAAGTCGCTAGGCGCCCGCTAGGCGCTCGACCAGCGCCTAGCGCCTAGAGCGCCTAGTCGGGGCCCAGAAATTAATATTAAATACCTTAATTTTTATTTATTTTAACTACCTACAAAATAAAACTATCTCAACTTATAGTAAATTCACACACCAAAGTTCAAATAATAATATTAATATATATTAAAGAAAACATGAGAACAAAATAATGTAATTATTATTTAAAAAAATAAAAAAAATAAAAATAAAGAACTGAAAATTTGCCGCCGAGCCCGCCTAGGAGCGCCTAGGTCCGCCTACGCCCGCCTAGACGCCGCCTAACCGCCTGGCCGCCGATCCCGCCAAGCCCACCTAGGGCCGCCTAGACCGATTTTTAGAACAGTGATAAAAATTATGACGGGAGACGTGGATTATGTTTCCATAGAGCGAGGAGGACGGTGGTGAATCGGGAAAACTGGCTAATCTCGGAGGGTGGAGCGGTGGTCTCGAGTTGGAATTTGCATTCAGCGAAATGGTCGTACCCGAAATAGACATTAACGGAGTCGTAGGGATCGGAATTGTTGAGTAAAGGTAGGGAGAGTTGGAGGTAGTGGATGTAGGATTCGAACGCTTGGGAGCAAGTCGAGTTCCACGCTAACTTGGTTTCGGTGCTGGCGGGCTCACCATGCAAATCACGCTGCATTATGTTGGAGAGGGCTACGGGTTTGGTCTCTTTGGCTATTTGTATGACGGAATTGAACGCGTTGGTCATGGCCTCCTCCCAACTCTTGCCATCTTTCACCAATTGCGTGCAAAGTCCTCTGTTGTCCTCCTCCGCCCATCGCCCTCTCTTGTCCTCCTCGAGTTGTTCGCAGAATGGGCTCGTTGCCCCGTAAACAACATTAATGCTTAAGGACAGTATGAAATATGCCACAACCACTTTTGATCCCTCCATTCTTTTGTTAATTTAATTCTCCTTAGAATTAATTAATGGCCTACTCCTCCTAACTTTTATTCTTGCTATATACATGCCAGATTTCCTTATTTTTCCTACTTCTCTTCTTAACCATCCATTGCTTTAGTTTAGTGTCCTAATTATATCTGAAAACAGGGGCCATCATGAAATGAAACATTCCTATATATATGATACCAATGGATATCCATTCATAAATATANATTCAGGACTATCATATTTCAATAGGAGCAAACTAAGGACATAATAATAATAAAAATTAAAAAGAAGTAATGGAGGAAATGCATCCACAGTACTTATTAGGTGTAAATTAGTAACAAAAATCAAATGGAAAATCTTCTTGTCTCTTGACTTAGATTATATTTGCTAGGTGTAATAACAAAGATCAAATGGAAGATCTTTCTTGTCCCTTGACTTAGATGTAGAAAGTAATTAACATACACACCTTTAGAGTCCTGGGTTGTAAGGGATCCCAGTCTGTGTCAACCAGCTCCCACCTTCAAAGAATCGGTCTACAGTATAATTGATGGCCTCCGACGTTGGCAGCACTCGGAATTTCGGGAAAAGTGTTTTGTTTCTTCTGTCAATTTTGGCTCCTGGCCCATGGTTCGAAAACTCAAAGAACTCACACGTTTTATGGTTCGCATTGCCTTCCCATACTGTCCAACCTTGTGGGTCGATGAAATCATCTAAGTAGCTTTGCATCACCACAGTCCGAGCTGTACGACTCCAGGGGCGGCCCAAATAAGTTCTAACTAAAAATCTAAATGGGCGCAAAAAATCATCCGGGACAATCGTGCAATTCTGGAGAACCAATCCTTTGCTGCCAAGAGATTCGATTCGTCTTTTTTATCCGCTGTCACCACGTTGAATTGGCCAACCATCGGTCTCCTAACTATAATCTTTGAATTTTGTATTAATGCCTCTCCATTTCCAAATATGAAATCGATCGTGCCATAAATGTGGCACTCCCGATAAAACTGTCTGAATGCTTGATAGTACAGAGTGTCTTGGTGTCCTTCCACACTGCACTGAAACATGGCTGACCTGTCACCTGACGACCGGAATGCAATGGCTTGCCGCCCTTCTGGGCCTGCCTCATTTTTTATAGTTATTCCACGAGCGAGGAAGCCATCTGCCTCGTTTGCTGCATGAGTACACATGCAAAATCAGTGTTACCCCTGTTAGACAACCATACTTTTTCTAACTCTTGGGAGAGTTGTTTCCTGAGAAATTTAGGTGGCAAAAAATGTCCTTCGCTATAATTAATTTTTAATCTCACTAATATAATTTTATCACTATAGAATGAGCTTTTATTGGGACAATTATATTATATCAGTATTTTAGCTACTTATTTTATGTTAGTTATTATTATAGCACATATGGCTTTGGGTCTTAGTCATGTGTTAGTAGGAATTGGGCTTGACCTTTATTATAGTTAGTAGGCTAATGAGTGGTATTTCTAATAGTTATCTATAAATAGGTGGTGGGGTTCCAAATCAAGCAACAAGAAATACATCACAAAATTCTATTCTCTCTCTCTTCTCCCCACTCACGTGTTCTATTCTTCATCTCCCTCCCAAATTTCTCCCTTTCCCCTCTGCAACTTTTCCAAAAAAAAAAAAAAAAATAAATAAATAAATTAGGAAATCAATACAAACATTCACAGAAAAAGCCAAGAACATAACACACTAATGTTGTTGTTTGGTTGTCTAACACACTAATGTTAACAACAACATTTGTGATAATCAGTATGTGTGAAAAGGTTGTGATAAAAGTTATGTATTTTCACACTTAGATGACATACTTTATATTACGATATAAACAGAAGTATGACATTTCATAATTCAATTATGCACTTTTTGTGAGAAAATATGGATATCTAACGGTTAGGCAGCCCAAAAACAACATTTGTGATAAATCAGTAAGTGAAAAATATGTAATGAGACATAGTAAATAGTTATATATATATATATATATATATATATATATATATATATATATATATATATATATATATATATATATATATATATATATATATATATATATATATATATATATATATATATATATATATATATATATATATATATATATATATATATATATATATATATATATATATATATATATATATATATATATATATATATATATATATATATATATATATATATATATATATATATATATATATATATATATATATATATATATATATATATATATATATATATATATATATATATATATATATATATATATATATATATATATATATATATATATATATATATATATATATATATATATATATATATATATATATATATATATATATATATATATATATATATACTAGTCCTGGTGTGAGAACCTTGAGAACCATATTTGATGCTATTTTTAATATTAGATGATGCTATCATTTTCACAAATGCTAATATAAATTGAATTGTTATTTTTAATAAAATTCATCCTATATATATCCACATGTTACGTGAACAAACACAACACACACTTACACACAAAAAACATACCAAAGGTGGCTATATTTTTCAAGTTGCTTCCGCTCCTCCTTCCCGTAACAATGGTTCTGTCAATGCCATCCCCATAGACGAAGACATTAGGCATTTTCATTTTAATTTTGACCTACTCATCATATATTCCGGCCTTCACGTAAATGATAAACCTTCCTTTGTGGTTGGGTGGGTATGCCGCCACCGCCCATTGATAGTTTCGAAATGACCACTCCCATCCTTTGCCACAACCACATTAGGCTTAATTTCACCACCACCTGAAGCTACAAGTTTTTCATCTGCCAGCTTAAACCATGTTGGGTATCCATCCATCTGTTGAGAGCTTGCTCTGGACGTTGGCTCGAGACTGACAAGTTTAGACTGCACTATTACCAATATCAATAACATCGTCAAGAAAACAAAGACAATCTTCGCAGCCATTTTATTTTGTATTTTAATAATTTCTTTTCTTTCAATTTAAGTAATTAGACCATCGATTTTCACCTTCATTTATAACACCAGGTTTTTTGTTAGTGATCATAGCATAGCATATCATGTGGGTTAAACTTCCAGCATATCATGTTATTTTTCACAACAAATCACATGGCTTAAAATCTCTAAGGAGTGTCTTCTTAATATGGGATGAATGCTTTGTTTGTTGATTGAACCACAGGTTAGGCGGTAAGAAATCAACTTCTGGTCTAATGAGATTGTAGCAACAATATTTGCCATAATTGTTTGTGTTTTGAGTAGCAGACTAATTATTGATTTACTGAGGTGACTATTTTTCTAGAGATATGCTAAGACAACACATCTTAGTTTTGCAAATTATTATTATTATTATTATTATTATTATTATTATTATTATTATTATTATTATTATTATTATTACTTTTGAATTGCAGCTATGGTTTGGCTTCAGAAACTATCCACTTGATGGTCAAACGACTAATATACAAATTTTTTGATTGTGCAATTATCGGCCTAAAATTATTAACACATGAGTGCAATTCAACTGATTATTGCACGTAGGAGGTAACAAAATGCGCCAACAAGAGATCCTTGGAGATAATGCGCTTGTACAGAGGTACTAATTGATCGAAAGGGGAAAGAGCTGTGTGAAACAAAGCTACGTACATAGTGAGTAAATTGTCAATTCAATTCAAAAATAGATTAATGCAGTGAAAAAAAATTATTGGGATACATATATTACAAATCCAAGAAAAGAAAAAATAATAATCCAAACAGCAAAAATTATTTAGCATATAATGATATGCATGTACATATTAATTTTGGAACTGTGGTTTGGCTTGCCAAAGGATCCTGAGCATTTCGTTGTAGTTAATAAAGAGATCAAGCTCCGGCACATCATTGACTGTATTTGTGCAAGAAGCAAAATGGTCGAACGCCAAATATACATCAACGGCTTTGTAGGGATCATTAACGTTGACCAAGTCAAGGCAGAGGTTGAGGTAGTGGACGTAGGCATCGAACGCACGGGAGCAAGTCGAGTTTCTCGATTCCTTGGTGATGTTGTAATATTTATTTAATTCTTGGCCGGCTACATTAGCGAGGGCTACGGGCTTGGTGTTATTTGCTATTTGTATGACGGCATTGAATGCGTTGGTCATGGCCTCCTCCCACGTCTTTGCATCCTTCACCCACTCCTTGCATTCGGCTCGGAAGTCCCCCGCCGGCGAAGTTTCGCCTACGCAGAAAGGGCTGATATTTGAGCTACTATTGCAGAGAGGTAGTAGCAACATCATCATCAAGTACATCATCATCATCATTTGTTTTGAATCCATCTTGACTAATTAATTAAATCCTCTTCTTATTATTATTCTTTTTTTTTTTTAGCTAGCTAGAGGAGACGAATTCATCTTAAAATAGGATATGTNTAAATAAGAAACGCAAAAATGTGGACAGGTTTGCAGACCGCCTAGACAAAAAACAAGGCTCACAAGACAAAACATACGACAAACACAAAGAAATAGAGGCATGAGCAGATCCCAACAGGATAATAAACTTGCTCCCGCTCAGATACAGACGGCCCAAATCAAAACCACAATCCTACAATAGATACCAAAAAATAAACAAGACAAAACAAAAATCACACGAAATAAAAGTAAACAATACGAGTCCTTCCCAAGCAGCCAAACCAATCATAGCCAGCGATACCAAGTCGAACCAAAGTGAGTCCCTCCACCAAATAGGACCAACCCCGAAACTGCCAAAAAACCAACGGAGTCGAAATCCAAGCCTCGAGACATCACTCATCGTCCACTCGCACCACGACCACAACACCCAACTTGTCCCCGAATCGCTACAGAACCGAACCCTCTAACACCACTAGAGGGGCTCGACGGTACCGGTTCACCCCCCGAACCTCAGTGCAAGAAACAGGGGAAAGAAACAAGAAAATGCCGAGGCCCCTGACCCGACTCCCAAAATCGCCTTAACACTGCCGTGAGCCCTCCACACCACCGTTGCATCGCGTCGGCCAACACCACTGGCCGGAGAACGGGAGCACCGGTCCTCCCTGACCCAACAGCAGAGCACAGGGAGATGAGGACCGAAACAGCGGCGTAGCTTCGCCCTTCCGCAACCAAACGCCGCCGAAGACCGAGCACGTCCCGCCCACAGATTCGCACCCCTTCAAAGTCCACCACTCCAGCAAGACCGCTAACCTGGCCACACGAACAGACGCCCCAGAAAAGGCGAAATCCATCCAGAGCAGATTGAAGGCGGACTCCATAGCAGCAGAAGGAGAAGCGCGAAACGAGGCGGGATTCAGGCGTCCGAGAGCCGGTCGCAGCTCGATTCGATTGCTATGAGGAAGGCGAACAAAAATCCGGTGAGAGGCGACGGCAGGTGAGCGAGAGAGAGAGGAGAGAAATTAGGGTTTTAGTGAACCACCGTAAGTTGTATATAGTTAAATAATTTTATATTGTTTTTTTTTTACGAATAACTAAATTTTAAAATATGATACTATTATCAAATTATTAATTTTAATATTATATACATACATATAAATATAAGTTATAATACCTTTTTCATAGTTGCACATCAGATAGAAATTTCAACACCATGTCGTCATTCAAAAAGGGAAATCATTTGAGAATTCATGTACGTAGATACTATTTTTTTATTATTATTATTATTATTATTATTATTATTATTATTATTACAAGTATAACGCCCGTGTATTACATGTTTCTTTTATAAAAAACTAAATTTCTTAATAAAAAGAAAAAAAAAGAATTGAAATTCTTATTATGAAGTAAAAAATTATAAATAATTATTATTTATTTTAATAATATTTTAAATTCTAAAAAATATTTTTATGAAGTATTATTTGTTCTATTTCATATATATTCATTTATATCAAAATTGAATAGAATAATTAATTTATTCAACAGTCAATATAACGCACGTTAACAACATGAGTGCTTGAAAATTAAGTATTTTATCAAAATATTGAAGTAAAGAAATTAACATTTAGAATGATAAAAAATTATATATGATGAATAAATAAAAAAATAATAAAGTTAATTATTTAAAATGATACCCATTTTTATATTCAACTAGTCAAAATGATAATTCTTTTTAACTACCCACACACATATATACATACATATTATTTACAACTCAATAATTTGATTTTGAATTAATTTATTTTTTTCAATTTTGGTTATATTATAATTATATTTTATATTTTATACAACTTTCTTCCCTCATCTAATATTTTTTAAAATAACTTGAGCTTTATAACATTCAATAATTTTAAATATAATGTGTATGAAATTAAACTTTATGAAATATAATAATTATTTTTATTATCCTAATTTTAATGTTCATTCTCTATGCATTCTTTATTTAAGTTTAGACATCGACTTTTAGAAGATTTTTTTTATACTAATTTGATGATCATACTTACTATACATATTTTTTCCATGTAAAACAATTATTTATGGTATATTAATACACATAAATTTCTATTACTTTATAGGATAATTTATAATATTATTTGATACTTTTTAATTTAGTTTGATAAATAAATTTAAATTTCATTTTTAAGGATATTTATCATTTTGTTGTATTATATATATATAATATGGATGTCAAGTCGAAGATCGTTAAAAAGATAAATAATTTGATATATCATATATGAAAAATAAATACAAACAAACAAAGTTATAAAATTTTTAAAATCAGAAGAAAAAACATTTTATAATAATTGATATATTAATTAAATAAAAAAAAAGAAATGTAATATATGGTAATGTGGAAAAAGGAAACATAAAATATTTATGGCATCTAATTGTAGAAGAAAAGAAGGAAGATATCAATATGAATTTAAATGAAATTCAAGTCTAATTATTTTTCTATAAAAAATATTAATTTATGTCCAAACCTGACTCCGAAGCATGAATTTTTGCCATATAGAATTCCAAAGAATGAGAATGTGCCACTTAGGCCCAATGCATTCTGCAATTATATATAGCGGGGATAACATTAGCTAAGAAAAAAAACATTCATTCATTTCTATCTATCCATCCATTCATTCATCGCTATCCACCATCAAAGGAGCACTCACGTAATTGTCGTTGTCAAAGTTGGAGGAATCGTGGATATTAGAATATAATACTACTTGTAAGTTGTCCCACATCGTTTATACATGGAGAATAGGCCTAACTTATAAGTCTAGTGGGCTAATCTTCCTTCTTTCAATAATTGGTTTTGGGATGAAACCTCAGTTGGGTTTCATCTGGGCTTTCCCTGTTATGGTGCGTTTCACGTGCATGGGACCGCACCCGTTTTTCCCCATTCTTACATGGTATCAGAGTCGGTTCTATATGAGACCGTGCGATGACATACCCGTCACCCAACCCAGTTGGGCTTGGGCCTCGTATGAAGGAACACCCATTTTGCCTCCGTTTTTTACATGGTATCAGAGCCAGCCTACAAGGGTCTTAACAATGACGTACCGATTACCCGACCTAGTTGGGCTTGCGCTTCGTATAAAGTACTCACAAGTGAGATAGCGTTTTAGAATATAATAGCACTTGTAAATTGTCCCACATCGTTTATACATGAAAAATAGGCCTAAGTTATAAGCCTAGTGGGCTAATCCTCCTCCCACTAATTGGTTTTGGGATGAAACCTCACTTGAGCTTATTTGAGCTCCCCCTACCAATGGTGCACTTCACGTGCGTGAAACCACAGCCGTTGCTCCCGTTTCTTACAGTGGAGAAAGGGAAGCACGAGACCCTCATTAATATCAAACATGGTTTTTATGCTTCTTTCCTCGCCCTTCACATAGTGGAGAAAGGGAAGCACGAGACCCTCATTAAAATCAAACATGGTTTTTATGCTTCTTTCCTCACCTCACATGTCCACACCTTTAATCACTTTTTCATAACAATAATTGAGCAAGTGCCTGTATATGTATACACGCTTCAAAACAATAATAAAACCAATCGCACATATTCATAACAATCTCATCAGTGCGTGCATGTAATATAATATCTCAAAATCACCAATTATAAATTAGGAAATCAAAACAAGTTACAAATGTCATACATCATCCTCACTTTCATCACTATATGAAACCAAACCAGTAATAGCTACAGGCCTGGACGTATGGACATTTGACATTTCCTGGGAGACTTGTTTCACACTTTCCCCGGGGGCCTCGTGTCTGCTTGAAAACTCTACTTTTGCTTTCTTCGCTTGTGGTTTCACTTTGATTACCAAGCCTAATGGGCGAGATGCTGTATTCTTTCTTCTCACTACTGAATTTTTGTCCTACGCAACAAAACAAGGAAAAAAAGAAAATACAATATTGTAACAAGTTTCAGAAACCCACTATTTTAATCGACTTCTCAAGTTACTCGGTCATCCTAATCATCAATCCTTTCCTATGCACTCAAACATGCCAAAAATCTCCAATTTACATGGATTAAGAAATGCCTGAGAAATAGAACAAATAAAGGAATTGTTTAGGCCCAAACTCAATGAACAGTAACCTCTAAATTATATCACAGAATGTTCGATTCATTCTTCTATTACCAAATTCTCTATGCAAACATGCCCGTACACTGGGCATGTTTAGTCAACTAAAACAAAACTGATTGTTAACCATAGATTACGAAGCATGAGTTATTCATGTGCAGTCACCTGAGTTTTTGGAACTGAAGGTGCCTCCTTTAGCTCATGTACAATGTTAGACTGTGATGCCACTGCTGCCTAAAAGAACCACAAGGATAACATTGATTTCGTGTGTAACAAATTAAAATCGAATCATCAGATGAAAATTTGCAGGAAATATACCTGAAAACTACGCAGTTGCTGCTCTTCTTCATCTGCTACCTGTCGCTCGTACTCTCTCCTGGACTGTAAGGAACAATCAAATGCCAAATCAGTTACTTACATGAAAATTTATCCCTGATGTATACATAGAAGTAACCTCTAGTGTCTTTCAAAGTCGTGTAAGAAAACATACAGACACACACAAAGTAAGCCTCGAGTACGAAAGCGTCTAGGAGACAAAAGTAGAAAAGTAAGAAGATCTTGCCTCACTCTATAGTAATAAGTTGGTGCAGCGTAGCGTACGAAAGAGAGAACAGAGATAAATCTCAACAGATACAACAACAACAACAACAACAACATACCCAGTATATTCCCAACAGATAAAAATTCCTATTATTCTTCACCCCCCGACCATTCTGTTTCACAGCATAAATATAGACTCCTAAGACCTCCGAATTCTTAACTTGATGACCAAGTTTAATAGGTATTATCCTAACAATAAAATATTATCCTAACAATAAAAGAGATAAATAATAGAAATAATTACTATGTGAATAAATAATTTATTTTGGCGCCGGGATGTGATCATATTTTCCCAAAAAAGCTATGGCGAGCTTGTCTTCATCATCCACCCCCTCATCCGGAGGATTCACCCTCGAATCTGATACGAGCTTGTCTTCCTCCGAGTTGTAGCCATGGAACGGCACCAAATGCGTGACACGGAAGACGGCAGACATGTGAATGGGAGAAGGCCAACGAAGGCGGTAGCCATACGAATTGATCTTCTCCACAAGCGTCACCATTGTAGGACAGATAACGAAAATGGGCCCGCGTTTTACGTGCTCAATTTCCCCCGTGCACGACCCTCCATAATCCCAGTCCCCACCACCTCTGAAATGAGCAAACGAGTAGCCACGAGAAAACACCAATTGTTTGGGTAAATATTTCGCAACCCAAGAAGACCAGGTTTGGATGGATGTCTCACAGTCATAGGATTCCACAACAACAAAGTCTGGAGCATGTACTAACAGAACATGCTTCCCACGAAAATCCACCAAAAAATATGTGGTATTGAACCTGGGGACAATAACTTGTTTTGCGCCATGTGTACCATCAAAATTGGAGTTGGATGAAATAGGGACAATATTTGTGACATCGAAAGGCAAGTGATCATCTGGAGCTTCTTCAACAGTAATTTTTCCTTGAAACTCAGACGACATGCTGATAACGCCGTCAACATCATCGATGGGATCGAACGCTGAAGTAGAATCCGCAAACTGATGAGATCGTAGCAAGCATGAGCGACGAAGAAGAAGCATAGGACCGACGTCGCCGTGTACATGCACCTCCGCCATAGATGGTTCCTCGTCGAACACAGGCGAGCCATTGTACTCCTTGATGCCGCCGTCGTCAGCGAGAAGTGTACGGGAGCCGCCCGGCCGAGGACATGAGGCCTGCCGATGCCCGAGCTCTCCACACGCGAAACAGCGAAGGCCGCCACCTGGCTGCGACCCCGCCGCCGCACCCGGCGCTCCAAATCCGCCCACAGATCCGGCCAAACCCCCAGTAGCTGCATCGCCACGCCTCGTCATGCTGCTGTGATCTGTCTGGAGCCCCGCTGCGCCGATGGATGGCCCATCCCTGCAACTGAAGGTGGAGGTGCTGTGCGCTGCGGCTGAAATGACGAACGACGTGCAAGTTGTGTTGCTCCACGAGCAACGCACGTTGATGGGCGTCCGAAATGGTGTCCGGTGAGAATAGATTCAACGTGTCCTTAATCTCCATTTGCAACCCTCCAATATAACGGGACACTAACTGCTCGTCGGTCTCCCGGACATCCACTCGATTAAGAAGACGGTAAAATTCATCCGTGTATTCATCAACGGACCTTGCGCCTTGTCGCAAATTTTGCAGTTGATACATAGTACGAACGAAATTAAATGGGAGAAACTCACGTCCGATGTGTTTGCAAAATTTGTCCCACGATGTGATTTTTGACTTCCCGAGACGACGCCGAGTTGTTTTCTGGTTCTGCCACCACATGGCGACTCGACCACGCAGACGTGTGGCGACGAGTCCGACCCGACGATCATCTGGCACCTCCTTGTACTCGAGGATAGAATCCACAGCGGCCATCCAGTCGAGGAACTCGGCCGCATCGAGGCCGCCCAAGAACTCCGGGATGTCGACACGGAACGCGGCCTCCCAACATGTGTTGCCAAACCTATCTTCCTTGCGTGGATCCCGATGAATGCCAAACGGATTAACCTCAGACATGGTGTCTTCTTCGTCGATGTCCTCGATCGGAGGTGGTGAACGGTGGCGGGGCGCCCCGCCGAAACCCCGTCCGCCTCTACCCCGCGTATTCTCCCGCAACCGCCGCGTCTGCCGGCTACGTCGCGATTATCGTGCTCGCCTTGCCGTCCGGTATTGAAGGCCAACGTCATCTCCTCGATCCTCGACGTAAGGTCTACCATAAGGCGGTCAGACGCCTCAGCGCGTCGAATTAATGCCTCAATAGCGGCGTCTCGTGATACCAACCGGTGCAGCGCAACGTACGAAAGAGAGAACAGAGATAAAAATTCCTATTATTCTTCACCCCCCGACCATTCTGTTTCACAGCATAAGTATAGACTCCTAAGACCTCCGAATTCTTAACTTGATGACCAAGTTTAATACTAAAAGATAGGTATTATCCTAACAATAAAATATTATCCTAACAATAAAAGAGATAAATAATAGAAATAATTACTATGTGAATAAATAATTTATTTTGGATCCGGGATGTGATCATATTTTCCCAAAAAAGCTATGGCGAACTTGTCTTCATCATAAGTCCTATTAGATATTTAAGAAATTAGATTTCTAATAGCTACTCTGCCACCATCTGAGTGGCAAAGCAGGCAGATACGAACCAGTTACGGCAAGGCAGTAAACCATCTCGGTAAGTTATGAAGGATATCTAAAGTTCCAATCCTTCACTTATCCATCAATTCCTAAGCTGATATGATGGACGTGCAGTTTAATAAGGGATGATACAGTACACGATCCTTAATTTCATCATCAATCAAACCTTACAAACAAACTAACACGGCATTGTCAAAACAGAAATCTGCCATTTACGAATATTATATTAGGTATGATTCGGATCAAGTATCAAATTCCTGAAAATTGAAATTGAGGGATTCAAGTAAGTAAATAGCACGCGAAAGTCTCACCATTTCTAATCTATCGAGAAATTCGGTCTCATCTTCATCAAGAGCTTTAGGTGGCCCTGCAAGAGGAAATATCAATCCGGGAATCAGTTATTGGTAAGAAAGGGCAATGAATATGTGGGAATGGTAGTCAGAGATCTGGTGACCCTAAAACTATTAGAGTATAAAAGCCAACCTAACATGAAATGATGATACTTACTGTGCTTGAAACGTTCATTGAATTCAGCATCTTTCTTATCTTTATTTTCCTTAAGAATCTGCAGTTTCCAGAAAGAAAAAGAAAAAAAAAAAAAATGTAACAAACATATTGTTTCTGGAGCAAAATTGATCCACGAAGTGAACAACTCCAAACTCAAACGGCTCAGCTTGGATTACAATTGAAGGTTATATAATAAGCAAAACACTCTTGTAAACAAAAAAAAAAAAAATCTATAGCACTCAGCATCCAAGCTCACAATATCAAAAGTCACAAATGTGGACCACACACTCTTGAGATGCAATATTATTATATAATGAACAGGAAAGATGCGGACATCGTAAAGGGACTTATCCCGCTGGGCAGTGCCGTCTTCGACTCGAGCTCCCCGTGTCCTCCGAGCTTCTTCCAACTGAAAATCAGTCACTTATTGTTTCACGTAAAACGATATAGGTACTGTATGCACACAATAGGCTGGCAGAAGAAAAATAACGATAATGTAAAATCAAATAAATTAGGGCAAACCTGGTCTTCGGAGACGAAGTTCATGAGCCTTACAGGCGGTTGCGCCTCGTTATCCGCCATATCCAAATGTATCAGATTTCAGAAATCCGGCCGGCAGCACTTTGAGACGAGAAAGGTGAAACTAAGAAAGTAGATTAGGGGCCAATGACCTCTTGGCCTGGTTAAGAGGCACCTTAGACACGAGGTCAAGGAAGCCCCGAGCGCAATGGAGGAACAATTAATACTAAGAACTACAAGTGGCAATGTGGGAGATTGAAATTCGGTGGAAACCAGCGACTGGATAGGTGGGGCAATATGAAATTGAGGGGCCAGCAAGCAATCACTCCGATAGAAACCAGCAGCTGGATAGGTTGGGGCCCTAGGAACCAGCGGCTGGATAGGTGGGGCCAACATGAAGCTGGGGGGCCAGCGAGCAATCACTTGGGGATCGACTCTTTGTGCGCGACGAGGGTATGAACCTAAGAGTCATTGTGTGGCTACCGCGGTTTAATTGGAGGCAGTTTTTTAGGGACGGGACTGTTTCCTCGAGAATTAGTCAGAGGCAAGTCTGAATATAAAAGAAAAAAAAAAGAAATTAGATTAGGGATCCTATCAAAAAGATTGTTCAGAGTATCGATGTTGCTTCAGTTAGATGATTTGATTGCAAGAATCTGTTTTGTTTGGGTAATAGAATAGGGTTCAGTTCTTATGGGAGTAGGATACCTAACGTCATATTATGTGGCTTGTCCCGGCAAAAAATAGCCCAAATAGCCGCCGATTTTGGGATATGTGGTGTTTTCCAATTGGAAGAAGGTTGGAAATCGTTTGCAATTATTCAAAAACTTTAATTAAAAAGTCGATTGTCATCTTTTATTTTGTATTTAAGTATAAGACCCTTATAATAGCTGTGTGTTTTCTTTTGATTGAACTTCAACTAAAACCTTTATCAAATAGATTGAACATCTT